ACATTATTTATTGTACGACAACGCTCACCCGAAGGTTACATTCCTGTCACTTTATTGTCACTACATTGTCACTCTATTGTCACTGCATTGTCGCTCAACTGGTGGCTTTTAAGGACAAGCGGGCTAACCCAAATTTCGGGGGTTTCCAGAAATCTTGACCTACACCAAAAGTGGGCATTGCCCTACCCATAGGAGAAGTTTTGTTTCCTTGGTGTGTATATTTGTTTGGTTATAGAAAAAATCTCCTTGTCTTTTAAAGAGACTGAATAGGAATCCAAAAACTTTTACTTTGATTTTTTCAAAACAGCATTTATTGAGATAGCTCCCTTGTGCTTAAAAGCAACAAATTGTCACTACATTGCCACTCAATTGTTACTACATTGTTTCTCAATTGTCACTACATTGCCATTCAATTGTCACTACTTTGTCTCTCAATTGTCACTACTTTGTCTCTCAATTGTCACTACATTGTCTCTCAATTGTCGCCACATTTTCACGACATTGTCACCACATTATCACTAAATTGTCGTTACGACCTCGGCACCACATTAATATTGTCACACGACATTGTCACCACATCGTCACTAGGACGAGGCTCACCTGTAGGTTACAATCCTGCGGCTGGTTCTCGTCCGTGCCGTCGGCGCCGCTGAGCAGGTTGAGGCCGAAGGGTATACAGAAGGCCGCCTTGATCAGGTTCAGGAAGGCCGCGTGGGCCAGGAAGGCGCTGGTCATCCGGCGGAGTGGACGCCGCACGAAGATCATGGCCATAACCAGCAGGTTGAGCGCCATACCCAGGCTAGCCACGAAGAACAGGTAGTAGGCCTCCTGGTGCTGTGTCTGCCTGTAAGGGGTGGGGTGTGGGGTGGGAGGTGATGAACAAGTGAAATTGTGAAGTGGTGAAATGGTGAAAGGGTGAACTGGTTAAATGATGAAATGGTGGAGTGGTGAAATGGTAAAATGGTCATGGTTTAACACCCCGATCAGCACTACATATTATGTCAGGCTATTTAGGAGACAGGACCCCCAAGTTTAACGTCCATCTCCAAAAGGACCGAACCAAGTGGGAAATTCGTGGAAAGTGTCCACAAGGCTACCGACACCGCTGTGGGGATAGGAGGGGGAGATAAAAGTTACGTAATTAAAAAGGTAACGCATTTTTTCAACACAAAAGAAATTTAAGACGCGTGACATCTGAATTTACTGTCCATCTCCGATAAGACCGAGCCAAATGGGTAGAGAGCCTTTTTTAAAATCCCCGAAACAACCCCAGTTCGAAACACGCCCCTTTTTGGATTCGAACCAAAACCATAATTGGTCGCTTTTAAGGACAAACGGGGTAACCCAGATTTCGAGGGTTTCCAGAAATTTTGACCTACACCAAAAGTGGGCATTGCACTACCTATAGGAGAAGTGTGGTTTCATTGGTGTGTATATTTGTTTGGTTGTAGGGAAACTCTCCTTGTCTTTCAATGAAACAAATCAAGTGGCGAAAACTTTACCCTCAATTTTCTCAAAACAGTATTGCTTACAAGCGATCAATTTACTCTCTTACTTTTACCCTGCACCTAACGACCGTTATTGTGTCGATGTGCTTCTCTTTACTCAAACATTTTCCCTGACATGGCAGCCCGCCACACGCCCGTGTCCTTCTCCGAGTGTCTCTGGCTCTCTGGCTGTCGGATATTCTGTGCACGTGTCTCTCTCCGCATTCTGCACAGTGTTGTCGGTTCTCCTTCCCGTCTCAATGTGCCTGCTCTTTACCCTCACAAAGAAAGGATTATCTGACTCTATCGGAATTCTGCAAGGATTTCAGTCCCACATTTGCACCCCTGTTTCCGATTTCTTTCTTCGTGGTATGTGTGTGAGTGTGTTCCTTTTCCATGTCTTTCTTTGGGCGTGTCGCTAACTCAATTGATATTACGAAAGGCCAATGTGCGAATCTGCTGTGTATTTCCGAAAGTTCCTGGTTGAGGTGGGTGGTTGGAGGGTGCTCTGGAGTGGTTTCCCCCTTCTTCTTTTTTGTGCTCTCTTGTAACACGTCCAATCTTCGGCAATTAAATGACCTGATTGGGTTGCAAGTACCGTAAAACTCTTACTAAAACTAAAATCTTTATTGAACTTAAGCCATTCGCGGAGTTTTGAAGGCTGTCCACCTGTTTGATGAGGTCCTATCGGAGATGGACGTGACCTTTAGAAACCCCTCCTCTTTAATAATGTACGGTGGTGCCCTAGCAATAATAGTGTTCTGGCTCCACTTTTTAACAAGAACTGAGTTACACACTACCTACACATTGCTGAGTTATACATGTTCACTACCTACACATTACAGAGTTACACACATCCTACTCATTACAGAGTTACACACAACCTACACATTACAGAGTTACACACTACCTACACATTGCTGATTATGCGTATTCACTACTTACACATTACAGTGTTACAAATAACCAACACATATTATTGAGTGATGCACTAACTACACCTTACGGACACAGATGACATGCACACTGTGTCAAAAACACGAGACAATCTTACCTGTGGGGTTGGGGGGGGGGGGGGGGGAGGAGGGGGTCAGTGCAACACTTAGCAAAAGGTGCGAGACCTTCTAGCTCTACGAGTGTGAATCTTTGAATCCCATTTTCTCAACACTATTCGTCATGGTGTAAGAACCCTATTATTCTAAGGACACAGCGTTAAAAAGAGTGCATGCCATGTCTATTTGCTTCCCTGTCTTGTTGTGGATGGTTAGGGGCACCACAGGTGTCTTCTACATCTTTCCTTTCCTTTTGTTTTATTTTGTCTGTCTGCTGTAGGGTTTTTTTCTTCTTTGCACTAAATGGCCGCCATTGTGTCAAACTACTTCTCTTTACTCAAACAAACGCAGCTGCCCTGCTCTTGCTTTTCTACACCGTGATGTAGGTCTTGAATGCAGAAGGCACGAGTTCCATTCTAACTTGGGAAAGATTGTATGTCTGACATCTCCACCTCACTGCTAGGACGAGGCCCTCACAACCCCGGGCTGACCCGGGCTGGCAGAGTTGACGCAACTCGCCCCCTCAACAATCTCAACTATTTTGAAAGGGAGAAGGGTTATTTTAGAAAAGGTTTTACGGCGCTCGCAACTGCATAAGGTCATTTGTGCGCCAGGAGAAGGTTGAAGGGGTGCGCGTAAAACTTCGGTCTCTGTTTATTCTTCTGTCACACCCACACCGCACGTGGAATGCGGGCTGTCTGGTGCCAACACATAGATTGGTGTAATAAGTAAAAGTTTTACGGCGCTTGCAACTGCATAAGGTCATATGAGCGCAAATTTTAATGTCTCCAGTCCTTTCTTCTGTTTGAAATCTCTCCACCAACGCCACTCCCCTCTCCCCGTGGATGGTTGGAGGGCACAGATGATAGAACTCTGGCTGTGTCATCAGTCTGTCTTTCTATGTATATGTGCGTCTGATTGCCTGTGTGTATGACTGTGTGTATGTCTGTGTGTCTGTTTGTGTGAAGGTCTTTAGAATTGTCTTTTTAGCTTTCTTTTTTCTCCCTTCCCTTGTCTCAGGACACCGGCTTTTCACTCGTTAGGGCTTACCAATGTATACTATTCTTTGAACGGAAAACTAAAACGTGCTTGCTTCCTTTTTGCCGCATTTTCCTCCTGACATTTATACAGTAATCGACCTTCGTGTCAGCTTGACCTCGCACATTCTATAAAAAGATATTGCATTTTCAGAATTGGCATTCATAAATTTGCCCGTAGAACTGTTGAGAGTTTTCATTTTATTTCTTAAAAAAAGAAGAAGATATTACCGTGGGAAAGTGGGAGTCTCTTCGCGTGTATTTTAGAAAAAGAGCACCGATCAGAAAAAAGGAGAGGTATTTTTATGCTTTGGTTTTATCTTTTTACTCTTCGGGACTTTGTAAGAAGTGAAGTTATAAGGTAAACATACGTTTTGGGAACGAAATGATGGATTATGTCTAGTGCAAGAAATTGTTATTTGGCACTCACACACACACGCACACACACACTCACACGCACACGCACACGCGCACACACACACACGCGCACACACACACACACACACACACACACACATACACACACACACACGCACGCGTTCACGCACGGAAGCACGCACGCACGCACGCACTCATAGACACAAATGATAAATTGAAAGTTACGGTTTAGATGTTGCCAGCTGTGTGCTCCAAACACCACCCCCCTCTCCCTTGTGTCTGTCTGTCTGCCTGTCTGTCTGTCTGACTGTGTGTCTGTGTGTGTGTGTGTCTGTCTGTCTGTATGTCTGTCTTTCTGTCTGCTTTGTTTTTCCCAACACTAAATAAGTGTTACGTCCCTGCTTCTTTGTGGATGGGGGACAGCTGCTCTAGAGTGATTTGTTCCTTTTTTTCCCCTTTCAAACTTCGGTCTTATATCTCCTCCTTTTCTTTGTACGCTACTCTTCAATTGTAACGCCTTTAATCTTCAACACTTGTTTGACCTATTTGTGTTGTAAGGCCGTAAAACTCTTGCTGAAACTGAACTAAACATGTTTTCTTGTGGTGACCCTAATTCTTCAACTCACCAAAATGTGAAGTAAATTAATGGTGGGCCCTTCGTTCAACAACTTCTAGACGTGAGTTTGATTCACGGGCAGATAAGAAATTAAAATACAGGTGAAATTTTCCAAGACGGCAACCCAATCTCGAATGGAAAAGTGGCTGTCGTGGACAGGTGGGCGTCTTTTAAAGTGTCATTATAATGTAAAAAAAAACCCAAAAAAACCCACACACACCAAAACGACCGAGACGATTTTCTCCCCAGGAGATGAATAAAGATTGTCATTGTCAAAAGTAAAAAGACGTAAGGGGGGGAATGGAAAATGGTCTTTGGTAATTGTCTTTGAAAGTGTCCATCAGAACTGTTTCGACTGTACATATTTAAAAAATGTACCTGTCTTCCTGCTTGAATGTCTCCCGCCCCACGAGACTGGACTGAAGCAGTCTTCTTACCGAACGTTGCAGTCGTTGGGGGGGGGGGGTTGTTTGTTTGTTTGCTTTCATTTTTACTGCGAATTTTGCAACAATCGTCCAAACTCTTGTCCATGTGGGTACGATTCCTGGTCAAAAGGAATAATCCGGTGCCTTTTGTCCATAGCAACAGTGTCAACGGTCTTATCTCTCGTCCGTAACAACGATTCCAAATATCTCATTATATCTTCTCCTTAGCAGCGACACCAAATAATAATATGTAATCTCGTGTCCATACAGACGATGCCAAATATCTTATCTTTTTTCCTTATCAACGGTGCCAGATAAATTATGTCTTGTTCATAGCAACCATTCTAAAATTGTGTTCCTTGTACATAGCGACTTTGCCAAATACCCTGTCTCTTGTCCATTGCAACAGTGCCAAATATTTAATCGCTTGTCCATAGCAGCTGAGTTGATGTCAAGCGTCTGACTTCTTTTCCATAGCAACTGGGTCAAGGTCAAGTGACTTACCTCTTGTCCATAGCAACGATGCGGGGCCCTCCAGCATGCTCAGCCGCGGCCAGCCAGCCCCTGGCACTGTCCGTGCTGCTGTTGTACTGCGTCATGGAGGGGGGCGGGGCTCATCACAGACACGCCCACGGCAGCACTTCCGGGCTCGGAGGGCATCGCTGATGGGGAGGAAAGGGGGGAGGGGGGAAGGGTTGAGAGTACGTTATTGAGGGCGGATAGGTCAGATGGGCGATTGGCTCATAAGTCCATTCATGTTTGGAGAGGTCCCGACTCCCCATTTCACATGTTCTTTTTGGGCGTCCTCGCTACGTTTCCTGGAAAGTTTTCTTTTAAAATGTATTGTTATCTTACTGTTATCTTTTTTGACGTTATTTTGACAAAATAATAAATAATAATAATAATATTATAATGATGATAATAATAATAACAACAATAGCCACAACCACAACATCATCAACAACAACAATAAGTGAACACCCTTCAGATAAATTACATGTAGAGAAGTAAACGGGGAAACTGATGTATGTCTACCCCCTCCGAATGCATTCTAGAACTGACTGTACCCAACGCAAACGATAGATTCCAGGCATACTTCGTCTGCATTTGTACAAGCCTTATTTTGCGGGTGGTTGGCTGATGCTCTGGTGTGATTTGCTCTTTCTTTCCTATCAAACCACCCATTGGCACCATTCAATTTCGTGTTTGTTACTCTGTTGTAACTCCTCTAAATTTCGGCACTTACATGACCTTATAGTGTTGCTAGCGTCGTAAAACGTGTACTAAAACAAAAGAAAAAAAACAGCAACAAACCAAACCCCAAGCCCCTAACCCTCTTATTGCAGCAACGTGACACGTCAGTAAAGACACCCAATGAAATTCCTGCCTCCTGCGCACCACACAGCGCGGCGGTTACCCGATACACCTGTGCCTCGGTAGTCGGTGGTGATAGTTTGCCAATCAACTCTCTCCTCTTTTACGCACGACTTTTAGTGACTGGTTCAAACACGCGGAGGTGATTCTAATTTACTTTTCACGACTAATTGAATAGTAGCTCAAAATGTGGGATTGTCGGACTTATATTTTAAAATGTTCTTTTTTGGGAAGGGAAAAAAAGGGGGGGGGGGGGTGATCTCTAGAAAGAATAAAGCATGAATATGATTCTAGGTGAAAAGGAGTCGAATAATGGTATTTTTAAAAATCATAACTTTATTTTCCGTCTTTGGATACTGCCATTTGGCTGAAGAAGGATGTGCCGAGTGTGATTGAGGGCCAAAAGGAAGACTCTGGCGCAGTGCGTGCGTGCGTGTGTGTGTGTGTGTGTGTGTGTGTGTGTGTGTGTGTGTGTGTGTGTGTGTGTGTGTGTGTGTGTGTACATGTGTGCATGTGGACATGATACATGTGAGACATCTGGGACTTGAAATGTCACCTCTGACGTCATCGACTTTCGCGCATTCTTCCTATATAACGTTCATTCTTGTTCTATGTAGCATAGCCGTTGGTGACGTCACTGACTTCCGCACATTCCCCATAACGTTCACTCTTCACTTCCCGACTTCCCCTCTGAGAGCTGTTGCTTCCTGCGCCATGTGCCCAATCTTTATGACCCTGGTCTCCGGTTGTTTGGAGAGGTCCCGACTCCCCAAATAATATGTTCTTTTTGGGCGTCCTCCGCTACGTTTCCCGGAAAGTTTTCTTTTAAAACGTATCCTTGTTTGTTTTGGGTTTGTTTGTTGTTGTTGTTGTTTTCTGGGGGGGGGGGTTGTTGTTGTTGTTTGTTTGTTGTTTTGGGGTTGTTTTTGTTTTTTATTGTTTTGTTTGTTTGTTTGTTTGTTTGGGGGGTTTTTGTTTGGTTTGTTGTTGTTGTTGTTGTTTTTTGTTGTTTTTTTTTGGGGGGGGGTTCTTCTGTCTGTTTCTTTTCCCCCACAATAACTCATTTTGTTGCAAGCTGTTCAGGAGACCGAAGCCCAGAAAACGAAGTTTTTCAGGCGAGAGGGAAAAAAACGATGTCATTGTTTTAACAATTAATTGTGTGTGTACATTGTGCATTTTCCTAGCTTGTATTTAACTTTGAATTTCGATAAACGTTTTCTTTAGCAGATGTAACAGATACCTTAGGTTAAGAAAAATGCAATAACAAAAATAAAATTAATATTTTGGGCTTATTATATCTCGCCATCTGATCGACGTGCTGTTTTTTGCTAATGTTTCCATCCTCTATAAACCCATATCTCCAGTTGTCGAGAGAGATCCCGACCAAGGAGTTTACAGTTCTAAACTCCTTGATCCTGACCCACCATGATATATTCGTTTTGGTAATCTCCCTCTACGTGTTCCGGAACTTTTTCCTTTAAAAAATATTCTTTTCTAAAACGATCTGTTTCTTCATATAACCCAAGTATTTCTGCTTCCTTGTTCTGATGTACTGGCGTCTATGGTGTAGCGCTTAGGCCTCTTGGCCTTTGCACGCAGAAGGTATGAGTTCAGTTGCATTCATTTGGGGAGAATTCTCAGTTTAGTATCTTAGTCTTTCTGCTGGGATGGTGAGTGCCTCCCATCCCAGGTCTGCTCTATATGACAGGGACAAAGCACAGCCTCCTGGATGACCTAAATAGTGTCGATGGGGGCGTAAAACTCCTACATACATGCATTTACATTCTTTTTACGTGAGCTGAAGGCACTGGTGGGTGATAGGCAGATGCCCTGGTGCGGTTTGCTCCTTCTTTTCTGTCAAAAATCTATCATCCTTATAATCTCTCATTTTTTGTGTTTGTTACTCTCTTGTAGCACCTCTAATCTGCGTCACTTCTGTTGCCTAAATGTGTTGCAAGTGATGTAAATGTCTTTTTTTAAACTACAACAACAACAACAACAGCAACAACAATATCACGACAACAACAAAACCGACAAAAAAGAACGACAAAAATGAAGACACTGGGCTTTGTATGAGCAATCATCATTAGGTTCCCAGCGAGTGGGAGTGACGTCACGCGCGCTAGTTGGAGGTTAATGAACACGGGCTATGTGGCGACACGCTGCTCAATGGTCTCATCTCGTGCCTCTGCTTAGTCCATCTCTCTCTCTCTCTCTCTCTCTCTCTCTCTCTCTCTCTCTCTCTCTCTCT